TGATCCTCTAAGAAAACAACTACCACAGAGATCATCCATCAAAAGAATTAATCATTCAACAGAATGAATTCAACGCCTCGCAGATGCCAATATCAGGACTGATCTATCGAATTCGCTCTTAGAAATTAAAGCCAAGAAACATGGGGGAAAAGGAAGCCTAAACTAAAAGAATAATGAAAAATATTACCTGCAGATGAGAAAAACTGGAGTGATTCTTTCGCTTCTCTTTAGAAAGAAGGGAGGATGGGAGATAGAAAAAGGAAACGGAAATTGTAGAACCCTAGAATTAGTAATTTTCTTTTACTTCATGTAGCATTCTTGGACGAAAAGCAATGGAGAATCCAAACTATCAAAGTTCACTTATGTGGAAAGGATAAAGTAATCAGCCGTGACATATTGTTAGTGTTACGTATTGATATGCATTATTATCTTTCATATATATATATTCCAAAATTTTGAGACCTAAAACACAATTAACTCTATTTGAAATTGAATTATAACTAGTATATTTTTTTAATTTTTGTCTCTTTTTCATCTATTTTTATTATAAAATATTATTTTTATAATAAAAATATAATATTTAATTTAGTCTGAAATGAAAAGTTTGATTATTAATTTAGTAATATTTTAAAATAATTGATTATGGGAAAGGTTATACATTTTTCTCATGTGTCATGTGCTCCCTTTTAGGATTTTCACCGACTTCTACTGTAAGTAATCTATATAATTTGAACACATTTTTTTTAATTAAGTCTATTTAAAAATTAAAATACAAACACAATTTTAATATACGTGTGAGTACAGTGTGCATTGCCGGGTACACAAAACAATTAGTATTATAATAAAGAAAAAAAATTTGATAGACAAGTTATATAAACTAAAGGCTAAAGTATAGTAATGGTCACTAAACTTTTCTAAAGCTTTCATTTAGGTCCCCAACTTTTAATACTTATAATAAAATCCCCTAACATTTAGTCCGTTTGCAATATAATCCTTCAATATTTAGTCCGATTGCAATATGGTCCCTGACGTAACTGTTGGGGGACCATATTATAAACGGACTAAATGTTGGGAGATTGTATTGTAAGTTTAAAAAGTTGGGAGACCTATATGAAAGCTTTAGAAAAGTTCAGTGACCATTACTATACTTTACCCTATAATTTAAGATACCGAAATAAAAGAAAAAATTTAAAATACTAAAGTAATAAAAACAAACCACTTTAATTATCAAATACGTATTTAACCTGCAAACATTTTATTAGTAAAAGTTTACTAAAAAAGTTATAACTAATTACAACTAAATATACTATCTTTCACACACAGAAACCCAGAAAATTATCAAATTCAAAAGGAAAAAAATAAAAAATTTCCCAGAAAATGCAAGTAAAAAGAAGAAGAAACATACCAACACCAATCTCATGAGCCGATTGTGGGCAGGAAACAGCTGATGATTTATCATTTCTACATCAAATCTATTGTCTGCAACTACCATGTTTGACCTGTTTTTTTTTTTTTTTGAATTATCTTTCCTGTTATTCTCTTGTTTGTCTTTCTTTGGATCTATCAAGGTTATATATTTATATATGGAAACTGGGATATATTTGTCTACCTCTTCTTTCCATTTTCAATTTTTCAACATGGTTGAAATTCAATGCGAGAATTTATTACAGCCAAAGGAAACACCTTTACTTTCTATTTATGGAAATCCTGAATTTTCCTTTTTTAAAAGTTTTTTAGTTCAAAGAATCAAATCCATGCTCTTACACATAAGAAAAGGTGGCATGTCTTCCGCGTGTCTTTTTTAGATACGTCACTTTTCTTAAATGTCTACCAACTATTATGAGATGACACGTTTCATGACTTTATCCGTGGTCGTGTACTGCTAATTCTTAGGGTAAATTATACATTTAGTACCTAAACTATCATTTTTATCTGTTTTAGTACTTAAACTTTTAATTTTTTCATAATCATACTTAAAGTTTAGTTTTTTTTATTTTAGTACTCCACCGTTAAAAACTTTAGTTTTTGTTTAATTTTAGTATTCCGTTCAAAATTTAAAGTTAAGTTTTGAAAAGATTAAAAGTTTACATATTTATTTAATTCACATTATAACGTATTTAGAAAGTTAATTATAGGGTGATAAAGAAATTTAATGTTTAATGTTGAGTGAGTTAATTAAAACAATTTAAATACAATAAAGAAAAATAAAATTTAGTGACTAATGATATAATTTACCCAAAAGAAAACGCTAATATACAATATTCAGCATCTTTCTTTTCGTACCAATTTCAAGACTAAAATAATTGTTATGGAAACCAAGAACAACCAAAATAATTGAGCAAAACCACTAATAACACACTTTCCTTTTGGACTTACTTGGTTACCTAATTAAAACCTTATTCTTACTCATCTCTTTCCACAGCTCCAATAACATTATTTTCGGTCTTCTTTTTCTATTCACCCAAACAGATTCCATTTTTTATATTATATTATAGGGTTAAGGGTCACATTTGCCAATGTAGTGGATTCAATTTATCATTTTTGTCTCTATCATATTTTTACATCAATTTAGCTCTCAAAGTTGTTTAATTACATTATTATATACCCTACCCTAACTTAAAACCCGAAATTGATAACCTTAAACCATAAACCATAATCTCATAACCTATAAACATTAAATTCTAAACTTTAATTTTTAACTTAAAATCTTTAATTTAGGGTTTTAAGTGAGGGGTAAGGTATATAATAATACAATTGTGCAATTTGAGAGCTAAATTAATGTGAAAACCCTAAATTAATGCAATTGTGAAAATTTACTTTTATTTATAGAAAAACTTGCAGACAATGTAATAGTGTTGTTAAAATATATTTATATTCATTAACAGGGGTTGGTTCAAGTTGAAACCAGAGATTTCGAATTCGAGGCTTTTATGTATGCATAAAATTCTTGTTGAAGACTCACCCATGACGCGAGTTGGTCCGGACTTATCATACGCAATTCTTCAATTTTGTATGATTTCCTCATTTCATGCACTAAAGGGTACCTAATTTTTTTTAAAAAAAATACCTAATTTTATCCCCCCGCATACATTGGTGCGATTCTCCTTGGGCACAAGTTTGTCCCTTTATTTTCATTTCAATTAGATGATGACACATGTCGCCACCTAATTGGATAGAAAATCATTTAATGAAATAATTTAAATTTTATAAAAAAATATTCCAATCATGTCTTGACACGTGCCATATTTTTAATTGGATAGTTAAATTTATTTAATTAAATTAAAATAGTGACTAAATTGATAGAATATGTAAATATTAAATACCAAATATGGAATTATGCCAATTTTATTAACGGACACGTCATCACCTTCGTTAAAAATTAACGGTCGCGGGCTTGATTGAAACGTTTAAATAGTTGGGTGATATGATTGATTCAATTGAAACTTCGGTGGTCAAATTGATTTTTGACTATAGTTTAGTGGTCTCCCATGTAGTTACCCTTAAAAAAAGAACGAAATAAAATATTCAAAATTACTAACGAATACCAAAATATTTCATATTAGATACACAATTTAATTTAATTTTATCTTTTTCATTTTTATCCATGTAATTTTAATTTCATATCTAACTCAATTCCAATATAGATATTACAACTTACAGGGAGATATCTTGTATCATGATGCACCACCTCATCCCAATCTACATCTCCCATAGAGATTATGTATCATGAGAGCCTCCTTCAGCGACCTCTGGTGAATTATAAGAGATGCTATAGGGCAAACAATCACTTGTTCTTTGCGTCTTCCAGTTTTCAAATTTTGGAATTTGAGTCGATACTTGGTTCATCTTTAGTCCTAATGGCTGTTTCAGGTGGCCGATGGATTTACTATTCATCTTGATCGGTTCCTTGGATCTCCAGATTTGCCTTGTCTTTTCTCTAAGACAGCAGAAGACATTTTGTCCATTCCTGCTTTCCTGAAGCTGCCTGAACTGGATCAATATCATATCACACATGCGCCATTACCATGCCTCACGTTTTAGTTCTAAGCGCAAAGAACTTACGTATATTAGTATAAGAATAGGAAATGACCTCTCACGGTAGATCCGCTCATCCTGGTTTCAAATCCTAGCTTGAGAAGATTTGATTTAATTAAACAACTACTCGGCGCAAGGAAGAAAGGGGAAGGGTCTCCTCTGCTGAACAAGTGGATCGATTAAGAAATTGTAAATAACGATATCCAGTTTGTTGCCTTCAACCTTCAATTTGGGTAAAAGATCAAGAGACTCCTTCAACAACCGGTTCTTACAAAGATGCTAAAGTATCAGGTTCAACATGCAGCAACATGCAACAGAAAATCCATGCAAACTGAAGACGTCGAGAAATCCTTCGGTTTTCTCCCATGCATCATCAACTCAGGTCCCTGGCCCCCCAATGCAGCAGCAGCAAAAGAGTTACCATGCACAGCTGAAGACGCCGAGATATCAGATGGTTTTTCGTTTCCATTAAGCTTGAAGACACCTAGAAATCAAATTGAATTCTACATTGAAAAATTAAGCTTGAAGACGTCAAGAGATTCCAAGGATTTCAGTGTTCTACTGTAGATATCACCCCATTTGGGGAAATAATAATCAAAGTGCATTATTTGGGGAATTAAACCTCCCCATATGCATTATTCTGGCTATTTTGCCATACTAATCGCTTCTTCAATTGTCTAAGAAGATATTTATAATGATTTTTAATATACGTGGCATTTGTGGAGTTATTATACTTATTTATAGGTTAATAAATTTAAGAAATCTATTAATCAAACATTAAATTTATTTTGATAAATCTATCAAAAATTTATTGTTCAAAGATTTTATTTATACGTTGATTTACTCAAAAACTTCTATTAGAAGGAATCGAAAAATCTTAAACCAAAAAATTAATGTATAATAATTATCATTAATCTAACGAATGATATTCAAATCAAGTTTCGCATAAGTTAACAAGAACAATAATCCACCATTCAAGTTGATACTGAAACAAATGCAATAATGGGACTCCTCACTTGATGTTCACCATCATCCCACACTAAAGAACCAGACACCATAGATTCATCCATTGTTCCTTCAACTATTACTTCAAAAGACAGCTTTTCTCCGATCGATGTGAACGACAGAACATTAGGGTTAACTCGGATTTTCAACGTACCGGTCGGAAAACTCACGTTTGCTCTATAAACCGCCGTTGGAGATCCCACATTGGTAACAGCTCTATTGAAAACGTGGCTAACGGTTGTTGAAGAAGAAGTGAAAACGGCGAACGAAGGGTAGTTGAGATCTGAAACTGTTCCTTTTGTTGGTTCAGGACATGATGTTTTGTCTTCGGTAACTTGTTGAAGAAAACGAGTTCCGTAGCCTTGTCGACATAAGAAATTTATGTAATCAAGTTCGTCGGAATCGTAGATTAAGCCTGGATTTATAGCTTTGACTGGATTTAAATGACCTGATCCGTATGCGAACTCAGCATCCGAGTTAATGCCTGAACTCATTGGAGATGCTGCAATGGAAATTTCCAATAAGATGTAATTTAGGAAATAAAATACACTCAATTTCCAATAAGTAAATAGCGAATAAATATCAAATTGGGATAATGATAATTGTTAGTATAAAATAATTTTATTTCTTAAAATTTATACATTCTACTAATTCAATTTTAATTCAAATAGTTCATGAATTTAATTCTTCACATATATAATTTTTTCATTAATTTAATCTTTATTTTTCTCTCAAAAGTTTTATATTACTTTCATGTAATTTTTTTAGTATAATAATAATTTAATAATGTGTTGTTTTATGAGAAAATATAATTATCTAATTGTTACTTTAATTCAATCGATTCACTTGGATTCATAATATTACAAAAATTAAATTGATAAAACTTTTAAATATAAAAAAATTAAATTTATTAATTGTTTGAATTCGAATTAAATTAATAAAATATATATATAAATTGTAAAGAGTAAAATAATATTAAATGTGAGTATCGTGTTTTTAATAATGTTTTAATTAAATAATTAAATTATAATTATTAGAGAATAATATATTAAATTATTTGAAGTAAATTTTGTATATAAATAAATAGAAAGCAACCTAGATTACCAGTGGTCATGAGAGCAGATTTGAGAGCAGAAGGGGACCAAGTGGGATGAAAAGATTTAATATAGGCAGCTGCGGCAGATACGTGGGGACAAGCCATTGAAGTTCCTGAGACAATGTTAAATGGAACCAGTCTATTGTCCTCTTTAACTTCACTTACCGATGAAACCCCAGACCAAGCAGCTAGAACATCTACTCCCGGTGCTGTTAGATCTGGCTGTTATTAACAACAATCCAATGAACAAAAATACAAAATCTGTTACAATTTAGTTTTATTTTTAAAAGAAACAAAATTATTCTATGTTAATTCTCCCAAAATAATTTAGGATAAAGTATATAAATAGTCCACCGACTACTAGGCTACTATTACTCGAGTCTCTCAATATTAAAAATTACAAAATACTCCTTCCACTATAGGTACTGTTATTACTTTAGAAAAAACAGTAAGTGTTGTTCAGTCATCAAAATACCTTGAGTATATCGGGTGTAATCGGATTCGGACCCCTCGACGAGAAAGAGGCTACATAAGGAGCCATTGTATCATTAACCTCATTACTCTTGAATATAGTTGCAGTTGCATTACTGTAATTGATATTGCCAAATGATTATCATTCCGTTTACGAAATATAAAAGGAGAAATTAAATTAAAATTTTTACGAAAAAAATGAAATCCAAAATTACTAATTACCTTGTGGAGTTTAGATAAACGAAAATCCGGCTGCCGTCGACCATATCGACATGTGAAGCAGGCAAAGGAAACGAGAATGCAACGTCTTTGGGTTCATTGTCTTGAAACAATGCACCAATTGCAGCAGCCACCAATGGTTCTCTCCCGGAGACAATAGTATCACATACAACAATTTTGCCCTTCACCAAATGCCGGTTCAATGAATCGTGAAGGCAAAACCTGTAAAAAGAAAGTTTCGACATCCGATTGTTATCCACAGGGTCGTGGTTAGGTTGTTGGATGCCCTGTGCAAATTCTTGTAAATGAACCCTTAGATCTCAAACTTATTTTTCTGAAATAATAAATGACTAATTTCATTAACTTAAAAAATTGATAGATATACACTATTATGAGGCTCCTGTGTAAATTTGAACTTGTTTTTCCCAAAAATAATTTCGCTTGTTAAAGAAATTCGAACTTAGGATCAACAAAGTCATGAGCTCAATGATCTAACAACTGCTCTATACATATTTTTCTGTTTTTTAATGACAACACTTGATAAATATACTCTATTTCGGGGACCCTGTTTTTTTAGGCTCTGCACCGTCACACACTTAGCGCATGCTCAGTCACGGCCCTGATTATCCATGTCCTATATTACTCAAACTCAAAAATAACTATCGTATCTTTGTATTCATATGTGGAAATGTATCACCTATGCGAGAAAAAAAGAGTTGTTCGTATCACCAAACAATTCTTAAATGGTAAATTTGTGTTTTAGTCCCCTTAATTATAATTTTAAATTAATGCAATGATCATTTTACATTTTGACCCTCCCAAAATGATAAATTATGATTTAATTATATAAAATGATAATATTTTAAATTAATATTCAATGTTACTCCGATTTAGGGGTGTGTATCGAATACGAATAATTATTGATATATGTTTAATTTTTAAAAGAATTTCTATATATTTAAAGGATCAAACACTGTGCTTATTACAAAATATTTATAATAAATTATTCTAGAAAAATAAAATATCGAAATAACATAATCGATATTACCTTGATGAAGCTGGTGTAGAATTTCTGTTGGGTGCATTTCGACCATGAATAATCGGGTACATTTCATTCTTGAGATCAAATGTATTAATCGATACACCCTATATACGGGTAAGAAACAAATATTTGCGATCAAAGGCATGGTAAGAGCAAAAATAACTAGATTCCCTAACTATATCCAACACATTCGAGTTCAAATCTTAACATCCGTAATCATTTCTAGGATAATTAGTGACATTACCTCGTAAATCATGCCGTTTCCAAGCTTAACTCGAGTGAGAAACTTCCGATCGATGGTGCTAGCAGCCACTGAAATGGTCCACGGTGAGAAATTCGTGGTGGTTGCTCGTCCGGGACCTTCATTACCTGCGGAGGTCACTGTCAAAATGCGATTCCTCATTGCATGAAAAGCTCCGATCGCAATTGAGTCTCTGAAATAATCGTTCGGATTATCTGATCCAACCGATAAAGATATAATGTCGACCCCATCGGCGATCGCATCGTCAAATGCCGCTAGAATGTCGGCATCATAACAACCGTCGGACCAGCAAATTTTGTACACCGCAATGCGCGCTGATGGAACTCCTCCACGAGCTGTTCCGGCTGCAAGGCCGAACAGGTTTGCTCGATTAACTAACCTTCCGGCAGCAGTCGATGCAGTGTGGGTCCCATGACCATTGGAGTCTCTTGGAGAAATGAAATCGTTGGGAGGAAACAATCCATCACTTCGGTAATATTTAGCTCCAATGATTTTACTGTATTCATATAGTGATTTTCATTAGAAGTAAAACAAACATTTATCATAATTGTCCGGTTTATATGAAATTCGTAAAAATATTAATGTTTTTTAAGATGCGTACTTATTGCAAGTGAAGTTACTCGTTGTTTGGCAACTGCCTTTCCATTTTCCGGGAGGCGGACCGAATCCTTGGTCGTTAAAACTTTCAGATTCGGGCCAAATTCCGGTATCTAGAACTCCGATGATAACATCACTTTCCGAAGTTTGTCTTTGAACTTGTTCGGAGAAGCCCATGAAGTCCCATGTTCTTGTTGTATGTAATATTCTCTTTTCATTTGGAAACACTGATATCACACCACTCATTCCTAAACGTTCAAATATTAGTTAACAATTTCAAAAATAGAAAAAAATCGAGTAATGGTGAAAACATGTACTCAATCCGTGATAATGAGATAATATTTGTTTTAAGTGAAATTCTTACGGTTTTATGTCACAGAAAATATATCACAAATGTAAATTTAAATGTCTACATGTTTATGGTAATGAATCTTTGCAAGGTCTAAACATGGTTACATGGGATTAATGGTATTAAAATAATCATGCTCACTCACCGGTGATTCTCCGTGCTTCATCCTCCGTTAATTCCACCACGAACCCGTTAAAACTCCTCTTGTAGCTACGGAGCACCGATCTCGTGATGGAATTACTGATTCCATTACATTATACAAAGTCAATGCAATGGTTCACAATAATGTAAGGTTTTAAGATCATCATTGTTGGATGTTATTTGAATGATCGAACAAGTCTTACATTATCTAAACTCAAAGATATTATATATATATATATAATTTAAATATACATATAACTAATATTTTTAAGAAAAATATTAAATTTGAATAACATAGCTTATTGATTAAATTACTATTAATTTATGTACCTGCCAAAGAGATCTTGTAGCATGCTGTTATGAAGTGAGGCTGTTGAACTTCCAACTTTAGGCAAATTGCCCATATATACAACATAGCTCTGCAAATTCCGAGGTTTAATATTCGTGTTCGACACATTTTTTAGTACGGCTAACAAAGAAGATAAGGATAAGGATGTACACATTATTTTATGTTAAATGGTGTGAATTTAAGAAATCATATTAAAAATTTAAAGAACGTAAAATTAGATTAACAATGAAAAATATAAAGAAAATATCAAAATTATATGAGAAGAAATTTTGACCATATTTACGTATGATACTCATATCTGAATTTGAGTAGTAAAGAAGCTTTGAATGATAAAAGGTGAAATGAATAAAAAATATTAGGGGGAATAATTGAATTATAAGGTTTTTAGGTAGCTAATTGTTTTCTTACATTATATTAACGTGTATCTTTATAATATTTTAAAGATCAAACTACATTCTTATAAATTTAGGGGGACCTAGATGAAATTTACCTTTATACTAAATTGTAACATCAAAAACTTCTAAGCGACCAAACCACAATTTTCTCATTTAAGGGGAATTTTTTTATCCTATTGGATAAATGGAAATAGACAACTATTAACAATAAAAATGAGAATATATTTACCGGTGAAAAAAATAAGAATTTAATCTCAACCTTATATTTTCACTCATCCAACAGTCTTAAATATGTATAGTAATAAAAAAATTTACACTATATAACTATATCCTAACTCATATATATATATCAACAAATATTCAACAAATATTCGTGTTGGCATTCAGGTTCAAGTTTAAATACAAATAATAATTTAAAACAAATTAAAAACTTGAAAACCTTTTAGAAAATAAATATATCTATATTAACTATATGTGATGGTTATACTCGAATCCGAGTAAAATATATACCTTTGTATCGGACTGAGACACAACGGTGGTAGGAAGAAGAGCCGAGATAAGGCCATGGAAGACAAGACAATGAAGAAGATATAATCTTCGGCCTTCCATCGAAACAACGATGAACAAAACCAAGTAATACTTACATACTATATTATATATACAAACACACAAGAGAAATGGTAATACTCATATGAAGAACTTTTCAAATGTCAAAACTAAAAGCAATCTAATCTTTGCATAATATGTCATTTGGCTTTAATCCGTCACGAAATTAGAAATAATCAACTTGTCCTTCTTAATTTATATATATATATATATATATATATATATATATATTTGAAGATGGAAAGTGATATTTTCAATTAATTATTATGTATGTTTGCAATACGAAATTATTTAGAATAATTAAAAAATTAATTTTTATAAATCGAACATGCTAATTCAAATAAGAATAACGATGACATCTTAACTCACAAACTTGCGGTCAAATAGTGCTGGAGACACAATCTTTGCAGGCTTTATCCAAAGCATGGGTCAAATTGTGCCATTAATCCTTATTCGGTGTAGGTTATGGATTTAGTCTTTATGTTCTAGTTTGATCGTTTTAATATTTATACTTCTTTTGAATTTTAAACTTTTATTTATGACCCGAAATGGTATTTAAGGTAATATTTAATTGTCCTAAAGACGCATCTATAACTGTTCTATTGATTACTCCATTTATTGTGACCTCAAAGTTAAATCAAATAATTAAAGGATTACTGAATATTATTTATTACAAAATCGTTTTTCTTTCTAGAAAGAAATGTATGCTAAGATGTGCAACATACTGAGTTCAAACGTTAGAATCTCTCTCTCTCTCTCTCTCTATGTAAAATTAATGCACTATATTACTCTCATGTGGGTGCATTGGTCATAAAAATAGTTAATTTACGTTTAATACCTTAATTTTTGTGAATTTTCAATTTAGAAAATGGTAAATTTTCGTTTTAGTCCCAACAATTATTAATACAATTTTGAGACCCTCTAAATACAATTTCTGCCTGCACCCCCAACTCCTAGGGAAGGACCGGTATATGTGCATTGCCACTCGTTTCTTTTTTCTGTTTTTTCTTTCTCCTTTTGGCTATGGAAAACAAAAATTTTCACACAAAACAATCACCAAAAACCTGGAATTCCACTAATCACATTTTGACCGCAATCAAATATTAATCAATCTCTTTATGGTTATTCTCTCTTCTCCCTTCTTATGAATTTTGTTTTGTAATTTCTTACAAGATTTTAGATCATTATCGCATTTTAAATTGTTCGATAATGTTTATTCATTTCCTTTCATCTAGCAGGTTTGAGATTTGATAAAAATAAATAAATGGCACATAGAGTGAACCATGAATACGATTATTTATTCAAGATTGTATTGATTGGAGATTCGGGTGTCGGAAAATCCAACATCCTTTCGAGATTTACAAGAAATGAATTTTGCTTGGATTCCAAGTCCACTATCGGTGTGGAATTTGCAACAAGAACTCTTCAGGTTTGATTTTGTACACAACCATAAATGTATGGACTAACGCTATTTAAATCCGAGTTGTTCCTCGCCTTATTTGTTCAGGTAGAAGGGAAGACGGTGAAAGCGCAGATATGGGACACGGCCGGTCAGGAACGATACCGAGCAATCACGAGTGCTTACTATAGGGGCGCAGTCGGGGCGCTTCTCGTTTACGACATAACCAAAAGGCAAACCTTTGACAACACCCTGCAATGGCTCAAAGAACTGCGAGACCATGCCGGTTCAAACATCGTTGTAATCATGATGGCCGGGAACAAATCGGATCTCAACCATCTCCGGGCAGTGTCGAAGGAAGACGCCGAGAGCTTTGCCGACAAAGAAGGTCTGTCGTTCTTGGAGACATCGGCACTCGACGCTTCCAATATCGAGAATGCCTTTCAAACGATGTTGCTGGATATTTATCAAATACTGAGCAGAAGAGCTTTGGCAGGGCAAGAAACTTCGGCTACGATCCTTCCTCGAGGAACCGACATCGATGTCTCTAAGAAGAGCAAAAATAGAAATAAAATCGCTTGTTGTTCGTCGTAGAGTGAAGCGAAAACATTTTGATTGTTTTTTCATAATCATTAATATCCGATTCGTTGAATCTGATATTATAAAAACCTATGATCGAGACGATTCTCTCAACCCTCTACTTCATTTGTTAATTTGCCCATCAAAATGAATTGCAATATTTTGTTGGATTTATCTCGATATGATTCAAAAACAATCATTCCTTTGCTCATCAAAGTTATGCCGATTTCGGATCTCACATTCGGGAAATGTTTACCAGCCACCCTCAAAAAATCATTAACAAGCTGTCTCTGTTAAGTAATGATGTCGGAAGAAGGATCGAATAGGGAGAGATTCGGCCTCACTTCTTGATTAATCTCAAGACATCACCGACGAGATACAAGGAACCGGTGACAAGAACCTAATCAACCAGAAAAAGGGAACCAGAAACCCCAAGAGAAACACGAGAAGTCAGTCATAAGCATTAAAGAAAAAGTTGCAACCGAACCACGACTTGTATACTTAGTTGATAAGATCTGATAAAATGAGTATAAATGGAGTATGACTACACGGGAGGAAAAAAAAACATATAAAACATTTATACTTGTCGAACACAAATTGTAATCTTCGCCAAGTTCAACATTCATCGATCAGGTACTTTTTGATTAAAAAAACCTAATGTTTCGGAGGAACAAGAGTCGCTCAATTGCTCGATACATGCATAGCCCTGATCTAAAAACCCACGAGGTTTTACGAGAAACAATCATCAACAACTAAAAAAAACAGTTAAAATCCGTTAAGTACTCTAAAGTAATATAGCCATGAACTCCATCTGAAGTACTCTAACCTTGTTATATACAAAAGGCAGGCAAATATTGGCAACGGCGAGCTTAAAATCTCAAGCATTACCTGAAATCGAACAAACCGATCCTTCTGGGCAGTATCTCTGAGCCACTTTATAGCCGATGGTAGAGAAGAAAAGACCAAACTGTTTTTACAACACCCAGCGCTCGTTCCCGTATCGTCTTTCACTTCTTCGCAAACTTGATCCATGTTACTGGCTTCCTCTCCTAGTATATGAAGGAAACAATCATCATAAATTGAACCGAACATTAGAAATAAAAATATAGGGAAAGAAAACTTTTTATGACGAAAGGATTGCGCACTCTGCATAAGGTTTTCCAACACTCTTTGAAGACCAAATTGCCATGACAAATCGACTTGAGGATCAACCGTAGGTAATTTATGAGATACAACCTTGTGATACACTGATATGTTCGGAACGAAGAGAGCCTTGTCGAGACGGACACCTGAAATAATGATGAACAGATTGTAAGAAACATAAGATATAAATTTCTGTCCAGGAAAGCTTCCTGATATGAAGTTTCTTCTTGTCAAGATCAGTCTTACCTTTTATTCAATCCAATGAACAAAGAATATAAATTTTTCTTAAAGTAACCCATGTCAGACATCCATGTCGAACATATATCCAGACATGAGTATGAAGATATAACTCTCCAAGAACCATCCAAATATATGGAAAAACTTTAGAAAAAAAAATCGAACATATTCATTTAGACTACATCAGGGAAACATAGGATTAAAGCACTTGAACATAAACATTCCCCTTAAATACCGGTTTTTCATAAACTTCAAATGCATCTATGACGCTTTCCATCACAAGGATATAAAATCCTATCCAAGAAAACACATCTAAACAGGCCTCTAACTCGCCCAATTACCATGGCTAGCACATGTACACATCAAGCGTGGCAGAAGCAACTGTGGATCTCGAACCGATATACAATTGAACAGCAGAATCTGCAAATAAATCTCAAAAACTTTAGTCCATCATCAGCAGGATGCAGCCAGAATCTAGTTTACACTTCACAGCTTGAAGATCAGAAATTCATCATAAAGCCAAGCACAAAAAATATAAATTAGATGAACATGCATATATATTAGAAAAATGTGAACAGTTTATAGTTCAAGGAATAATCAAAATATAGTTTATTCTCACCTCGAGAGTTTTATAAATTCAACTGTCAACTTTGGAGTTCTAAAGCTTTCAGAAAACCCAATACCCTCCTAGGTTTAGATTATCCTTAATCCTATAAACTCATAAGCAAAATACAAGCCAGCACCATACTAAAGTAGAAAAGCTTAAATATTGGAAATAATGAGACAAAATATACAAGTTATGAGAATATCATCGACAACAAAAGCTTTCCGAAAACCCAATGCCCTCCTAGGTTTAGATTATCCTTAATCCTATAAACTCATAAGCAAAATACAAGCCAGCACCATACTAAAGTAGAAAAGCTTAAATATTGGAAATAATGAGACAAAATATACAAGTTATGAGAATATCATCGACAACACGAAAACCATAAGGATAAAATACTCTCTTTTACATATAAATTTTAAAAATTGTGAAAATTTATTGTGGAACAAAGCAGGCTGGTCTACCTGCACAGTATCCTCAGATCTTTTGTACGTCTGCCGCTGTGCCTCAGAATTCAAGTTTGTTTGGTGACTGTCATCCTTAGTGCAAAGAGAAAACCACCTCGCACAAACTTCCATACTTTTAGGACTGTGAGCTCCATCCAAATAAAAAACTAGATCTCCAATGCTTTCAATGTCGGTAAACTGATCACGGACAATCTGAGCCCGCCCTTGTAAACTTGCTGTTGTTATGCCCTTAATAAACGGTTCAGGTAATGGACCCTATTCCGAGGAAACAAGTAACGTTTAAGCAAACAGTAGCTGGAATGCAGATAAAGTGTAATAAATAGAACCCACTGTTTGATTGAAATTGTTGATAGGATGACCAGTCCTCTGAAGCCAAGCAGTACACAGTGCAACGGCAAGACCGGCATTTAAATATTGATGTTCGCCATCAAGTGCAAGCTTTAGATCATTGAGCGAACTTGCGTCTATCGGATTCGCCACTTGAAGTTTTACCTATGAAGAACATAATCGCTTCAGACTAGCATAGCTTATGTCCACTCAAACAACGCGAAATCCAGAATTTGAATACAAATTG